TTTTTCCCCACAAAAGCCGTAAACTACCCACCAGGAACTAAACCGCTAAGTATAGAGATGCTGCTGCTGATACTGCCACCAGATACCTTCTCCCATAGTACCAGACAGTAATCATAATCATATGGAATATTAGAGAAGACATAGTTAGGAATCGGGTCTTGATTACATCAAATGAACACCAGAGCAGGACTCCTCTACTCATGCAGACAACAAGAGGAGAAGGAGAGAGAAGGTAATGCCGCAATAATTTCGTTTTCTTCTGTTCAAGAATAAGATGGTTTCGTGTTGGAAAAACGAGGGCTAGAGAGGTTCACGGGTCTTGTTCTGTTTACCGAATTTCCGGGTGCCTGGAAAACGAGACCCATCCACCTTTTTTTTTATTTTTATTTTTATTTTTAAAATTTACTTGAATATTGAATACGATTCACTCTGATATCTCAAACTAAACAAATGCAAGACTAGATATAATCAAATCATACCCACCAACCAAATCTCGTAAGCATCTGGTCTCTGAGTTTTGCAGATCATGAACTCCATTTTTTTTTAATTTGGAAGATCAAAGAACAATAAAAAAAAAAGCAGGGAAGAAGAGGGTCATACTGGTAGGAGGGAGAAAAAGACCATTTGGAGGAGAGAGAGAGCTGAAAGCCGTAGATGTCGGCGACGCCTTCCTCACGAGCGGTCAGCATCAGAGCCATCGCTGCTGCCGCCGCCGCCATGCCTCCGCCTCTCAGAGCAACCTCCGCCACCTCCCTCCGCCGTCCTCCTCTCCTTCCTCCCCTCTCCTCCGCCGCTGCCTCCTCCTTCGTCATTATCCCTTCTCTCCGGAACACAAAAGCGATGATCAATGCCCTCTCTCCCGCTGTAGTAGCTTAACTTCCTGGTACTTTTGTCTGTTCGGAACAAACTTTTCTCGTCTCGATGACCAGTGAGGCTTTTTGTCATGTTCCTGCCCGGTCTCCCCACGGTCATGTCTTCCTCTTATACATGTATTTCTTTTTAAGATTCGCCCTCTTTTTCATGTTGCTACAAAAACGACACTATGCGCGGCCTTATAATATTAAATAAATAAAATAAAATAAAATAAAATACCACCAGCATTGGGCTTACCAAAGTGTGTTTTCGGGGGATTTGTATGCATTCTATGTTTTTTGGGCTAATAAAACAAAGATCCCAACGCAATTTAATTCGGCTCAACCCACAAAGACAGCAATCTAGGAGTGGGACAGGTAAATGTTACATAAATAGGGTACCGAAAATGGTACAAAACGGGTTGAAAATTTAAGAAAGCAACTACCAGAGGCCCAGGATGACTGAAACGTGGCACAATTCCATTGAGCAAGTTTTAATCGATAGCTGCATCGATTTTTGCCGCCATTTATGGGCCCGGCCCATACTGTTATTTTATGGGCCTCGAGTAACATAACATTGTTTTTCATCTATGGCCTCCGTCAATGGTTTTTTTTTTTTTTTGTTAATAAACTGAAGGATTCTGTTGAGATTTTGTCCGTATTCACCGAGTATGTAGTCCACATATGCAAGTATCGCTTTTTATTTTATTTTTTTATAATAAAAGAGGTTCACTAGATTTTCCCACCGGGTCAACTTTTAGTTACGCAATTAATTGCGTCTCTCCTCTTCAAGTGCAATTGAACTAGGATTTCGAATTGACTTTGTCACCCCTCAACCACTGAACCACTAACTAACGTGTAACTGTGTAAGTATTGTCTTCTTAATTAGTTAATTATGTCTGTGATTAAAAAAAATGAAAGCCAAATAATAGTAAGACTACCAATCCATGTATCATTTTCTATAAAGGCTCACGATCTTCGCCATTGACATGCGCACCCATGTTGCAGCCTGCATATATATATATTCACGTGTGCGTGTGGTTGTGGACGGAATTTTGGGCATCTTATATTAACCGCAAAATCTTGTACAAATGGATTGCATTGCATTGCCTTATTACATTTAAAGCTTATGGTAAGAGAACATAACAATAAAAAGGTTAACAAAAAAAACATAACAATAAAAATAATAAATATTTATATGGACATATCGAAATTGGACTTGATTACATGAACTCATCAAGATTTAAAATAAAATCAACCGGTGATAGCACCAGAAGAAAACCCACCTCGGTAATTAGTAAATATAGATAAAAACCTCCGGAGAGGAAAGCTATAATTAAAAGACGAGTTTAAACTTTCCTTATAGGAACGTTAAAAAAAAACATGTCATTGCATGCATGCGCCGTGCTTGATTTGGGTAGAAGAAGAAAAAAAACTCATAGATCGAGTGAAAAATCTCTTGACCCAGAAACATCAGCATGCGTGCATATAATTACTAAAGTGAATATATATATATATAGGTAGGTATATATATACACACACTGACACACATGCAGTGTATATATATATATGGTTAATCGGTGAAGGAGAGATTGTTGATGTCCCTGGTGATGGCGGGAATGCAGCTGGAGCTTCTGGCAATGCCCTGTCTAGGGCATTTAGGGCCAATGGACTTAGCCCTTTTCCTAAGCATCTCTCTCATGGCCTCCGCCTGGAACAGAGCCGGGTAAACCCTACCCAGCTTGTTAAACCTTACGCAAGCGCTCATGTGAGCGTTCATGGCGGATTCCAGCTTCTTCTTGGCGTCTGGGTTTTCGTTCTTCTTCTTCGCCATCTCCTCCTTCACGGCCTCTGAGCACAGCCCGCATATCCATTTCCCCATGAACTTGTCGCGAACGCGCTCTATGTACTCGACCGTGCACTCCTCGCTCATCCCGCAGCACTCGCACTTTGCGTTCTCCACCTCCGATATCGTCGGGAGCGATTTCGGATTCGCATTCGCGTTTGCGTCTGCGTTATCAAACGCGGTTTCTCTGTTGAGTTCGAAGGATATGTCGGATAAGGTCCGGTGGAGGGATTCCTTTGACAGTTTCGGCGCGGGCGGCTTGGCCATACTGCCGCCGCTTATGCTCTTCCTTCTCCCGCACGTGTCCATGGCCTCGCCGTTCGGTGCCATATTTATCCGATTTTTTTTTTTAAAAAAAAAAGAAAGAGAGATGAGAAGAGAGATTATTATATGTTTTATGTTGAAGTACGTATTATTATAGCTAAAAAAACAAATGGGTTTTTGGTCTGGTTCGTGATTCTCTGGTTTTAAAATTGGTGAAGAAGAGAGATTAATGACCATGCAATGCACCTACACGTCCACGTATTTATAGAGTTGTTGCATGGGGGTGGTAAATCATGTGGGCCCCGTGCTCACGTGTTTTAAGAGTGCCGATGTGTCCAGGACATGCTACATTTTTCGCTCTGATTTCTCTTTTTATTTCCATCTTTTGTAACCCTCTTGTTCTATGAACTAATTAATATGATTTGATTATATGCTATTATATTTTACATCTATTAATATTGCAATCTTTTATAAAAAGTCTCGAATAATTTTTTCTACCCAATCTCTGTCACATTCTATTTTATCCGTAGAGATAAGGTAATTTTCTCAGATATATATATATATATATATATATATATATATATATATATAATATACGTAGAAGCCGCAATTTTTATATTTAGATTATTCGCAGTAATTGGCATGCCAACCCCGAGCCAATTAAGCAAAAAAAAGCGATCACGAATTAAAAGTGGTATGACGCAAGTTGTTCATAGCCGTTACTGTTTGGTGATGTATCATTATCAAGATTTTAACTTCTTTTTTTTTCAGCATATCAAAATTTAACATTTTGGATGTTTATGGGAAAATATTTATTTTAAATGTGTTCTATAATACTCTTAATGATATATAAATCGAGTATTTCCCCTGTGAGAGAGCTTAATCTAAGATACATAACTCAACATCAACAAATTACATTAATGTGACGGTCAGCGTTATATATATATATATATAAACTGCATGTATACAAACTCTTGTGTATGTGTCAAAAATTCTCTGTTTTGATTCAAATGAAGAACTAGTGGCAGAAGCGCAACGAATTCTACTCGCTCGTTCTTCCATTGCTGCTACAGCTCAAGGTTCTAAGTATAACCTTCGCTATTGTGTTGACAAAGCCTACTTTGATCCTACCGACTTCACACTAGTCGGAAAAGCTCGCAAAGGCAAAAATAGATTTTAGATTTTTACTGCTTTTGGTTATAATTTTTAAATATCTATGACGGTTTAGTATAACTCTTCAGTTTTATTTGGATCTGGTATTATGATCTCTACTATTTGTATTTAGGGATGATACGTCTTCTCTATTGTAAAACATTTATATTTATACGATTTACCGTTAACAAAAAAAATCTTGTGTACGAGAGTGAGGAAAAAACCCTTAGATACGAAAAAAAAATATGAAAAAGAAAAAGTCGTTATCAGATGAAACAAGTGTTTGTGTTTATATATAGGGAAAAAGTAGCTTTAGCCTTTAAAAATGGTTATTATTATTATTATAACTCAAAGAAAGAAGTGTGTGGTGTTTTTATGTATATAATAAAAAAGGGAAGGAAACGATTAAAAAAAAAGTTGGCATTGGTCACGCGGTTGTGTTGTGTAACCACAAAACGTTTGTGGCAACATGGAGCAAATTTTATTTATTTTTTGAATAATCGCTTTCAGACATGTTGTAAAAGTAAAATTGCAAAAAAAAAAAACACCACTTTATATTTAAAAATGAATAAAGTGGATGGTGTCACGTGCGGAACTATCTCCCTCCTAGGGCTGGGCGTTTCGGTTCGGTTCTTCGGAACCGGACCGAACCGAACCGTTAAAACGGTATTTTTCCCGACCCGAAACCGTTGTTATTTTCCGAACGGTACCATTTTTAGAGAATCGAATTTTCCCGGAACCGAACCGAACCGAACCGAATACAATAAAAAATCCGATTGGTACCTATTTTTGTAAAACCGAAAGAACCGAACCGATCTATTCCGTCCCGAACCCGAACCGTTTCCCGAAACGCCCACCCCTACTCCCTCCGACAATATAGATGTGGCGCAGCGTGTGCATACGAATGAGAGGGTATCCGATTTTTTGGACCTCTGATTTCGGTTACGTAAAAACCGGATACCTCCGGCTGTATGAAAGTATATGAATCCGAGAAAATTTCCAAATTTTCATTAATTTTGCATTTTAGTTATTTTACATGAAAACAGCCCTGCTTATTGTTGTAATTGCATTAAAATATGATATAAAAATAAATTTATAGCTTTTACTTTTTATCTCGTGACCGTGAGATAACCCGTCATATTTTGAAAAATTCGGGTTTCTGGTTTCATAGTACTTATTTTCTATGTCATTCATGGCGAGTATCCATGACTCGGCATCCGTGAGATCGGAGACATGAAAACTCACGAGTCTCGAGCGAAAAGGTTTGGTTCGGGACTTTCCTGCATTTGATCTTTTTAATTTCTTTCCGAACATATGTATTTCGACGTATTCTATCGTTGGGTTTTTTTCACGGTCGTATGTTTTGTAAGAAAATTAAGAATACAAAATCCGAAACTTGGTTTTAGTTTATAGCAAAGGCGTTGGGTTCAAAATATTCAACAGTTGGTTCTTATTTGTTGAGAATAAATAAGATTTTGATATATCTATGTGGGGTCCACCTTATGGGACCTATAGCTGAAAGCCCACTATGTTCGTTCGTGGCCCATATATATATAGTGGAAAAACCCAATTATTAATGTAGTGGGCCCAATATAACCGAGGCCGACACAATACAATGTCACTAAAAGATGCACCGGTGGCCGGATTTCATTAAAAAGAAGTTTGGGTGAAATAGTTTTTATTTTGAGTTTTTGATTTTTGATTTTTAGTTTTTGGTTGTTGTAATTATTTATAAATTTATAAAAAAGTAGAGTTTTTGATTTTTATTTGATTTTTTTATTAAAACAGTGTTATGTGTTTTCAGGAAAAAAATTCAAAATCTTGATTGTCAATTTGTTTTTTAGTTTTTGAATTCTAAAAATTGGACATATATAAAATAGGCCGATAGATGCACCGATTAGAAAAGTGGAGAGTATAGATATAAGGATGAGAAGAGATGAAAGAAGTAGACCTAGACTTATTTGGAAGCGTGTTATTAGAAACGATTTGGAAATATTGCAGATTCCGAAAAAGTTAATTCGAGATCGAAATGAGTGGAGAATAAAGATTTATGCGGTCGATTCCAAATGAATTTGGGAATGAGACCATGTTGTTGTTGTTGTTTGAATTCTAAAAATTCCAAAAACTCTAACTCAAACCCAAAATCTTGGACTGCTAGCACTTAAGAGGCTAATAAGCTTTAACACTAAGAAGAGTTACCCTCGTTTTTCATGGACCTGCATTATTATTTCTTCTATGAATGTATAATGTAAGCCACAGATTCTTGATTTGAGTGTGTGTATATATATATATATATAAGTTTAGGACAAACTAGGTTCTCGGACGGTTTCATGAAATCCCTTGTACGCCTGATTTTCATTTTCAGCTCAACAAATCACGAAGTAAAATTAATTGATTTATTGATTCCGAGGTTGGTTTGAACTTTGAACGAATAATAAATAATTTATTTAATAATTAGATTAGCGAAAAAAAAGGCAGTGCCGCGTCCAAACCAAACGTCGACCATCCATAAGACAATTGAATTTTCTATTTTTTTTTCGCCGTCAATTCCAATGCACAGAGTGGAGTGTGTCGACGGAGGTTTTAAAGGGCAGAAATGTCCCACCGGGCCTCTGTAACGCACCATCCCTTTTTACCACACGTTTTAAATTCATTAAAATAAAAATGGTCATACGCCTTTTGCTGACGTGGAAAGTGATAAAAGTTTATTTTCATACCCACCTCATCTTAAAGTATATTAATTTTCCTTGTTATTTTTCACTAATTTCACTTGAATTTATAATCAATAGGATCACATCTATGTATGGGTGCTATAGAAGGCAAATGACACATGGACCGTATGATGTTTCATCAAATAACATATGACCGTACACTGACTAGAACGAAAAAGACAAATGAAATTGATGAATGGCCCTTTTTGGAAATTAAGGTTTTTAAGGGCAATATGTGGAATAAAGGGAGAAAAGTGGGGGGCGGAGATGCAAATTAGAAGAGATTGGAAAGAGAGACACGTTAAGCTTTTCCATGGAGGTTTGGTGCCATTTGCGCAGCTCCTCCTAGATTTCGAGAGAGAGAGAGAGAGAGAGATTTTAGCGCTGAAGATCGTTTCCGTGTCTTCGTCCTCCAGGTAGGAATCTTAAGGACGCAGCCTGAGGCGTACGGCTCTCTCTCATCTTCGAAATCACCATGATCTCCCTCAGCCTCTCCTCGTCTATGGTATCTATATCAGTATATCTACACTTGCCCATTTATCCTTTTGTTCTATTCGATCACAATTAGCGCATTTTTGTGTATTTCATCCTCTGATATCCGCAGATCAAGACGAGCGTTCCTGGTAGTAGTTGCACCCTTTTCTCTTCACGCCAGGCAAAACCAGCTCCAGCTTTCTTGCGAGTAATCTCCGGCGAGGGATCTAATCGGGTTTTGATCGAGACGACTGCATCTTCCGAGTCCTCGGTCGATGAGACCACCACCGTATCCGGTGGAGTTCAGGATGTGTACGGAGAGGACGCCGCCACAGAGGATTTCCCCGTCACTCCTTGGTCTCTCTCCGTTGCCAGGTCTCGTTTCTTTCCCTTTTTCCTTTGGCCCAGATCCGTGCCATAAAAAATTTCTTCAGATCGAGTCTTGTGATTGCAGTGGGTATACTCTGTTGCGTGATCCTCATCACAATAAGGGCCTTGCCTTCAGCGACAGGGAGAGGGACGCTCACTATCTTCGCGGTCTTCTTCCACCCACTGTCATTTCTCATGATCTTCAGGTCATTGCTGTCTTCAAAAACATACTCCGGGTGTCTGTCGGAACGAAAGATTTTATCTTTGTTATCTTCTGGTGGCTTTTGCAGGTTAAGAAAATGATGCATACTCTCCGTCAGTATCAAGTTCCATTGCAGAGGTACATGTGTATGATGGATCTCCAGGTAAATTTCTTGGCTTCTACATTTCGCTTTCCTCACATAGTCCAAAGGGTTTGGTAGCAGTTTGATAATGTAATTGTCTCCTGCAATCCCAGGAGACGAATGCGAGATTGTTTTACAAGCTTCTCATCGAGAATGTTGAGGAGTTACTGCCGGTTGTCTATACTCCAACGGTTGGCGAAGCCTGCCAGAAATATGGCAGCATTTTCATGCGTCCACAGGGTCTTTTTATCAGCTTGAAGGAGAAGTGAGTTCCTTTGGTTTCTTTTTAGCTGATAATGATATCAGCCATAACCGGTTTTGTTAGCTTCATTTGCACAATTTGAGAGTATGGGTTCCTATATTTAGGGGTAAGATTCTCGAGGTGCTGAGAAACTGGCCTGAGAAGAACATCCAAGTCATTGTCGTCACCGATGGGGAGCGTATTTTAGGGTTGGGAGATCTCGGATGTCAGGCAAGTCATCGTTTCTCTATTTCTCACTTCGCTTCTTTTTCTTCTTTGTCTGCTTCCATGAAAGTGATTGTCTATGATGTGTACCTCTAAATTTACTTCAGCATGCCACGATTGAATTTTCTTTCAGGGAATGGGAATACCCGTTGGGAAGCTTTCTCTGTATACAGCTCTTGGAGGTGTCCGTCCATCTGCTGTAAGTATCTGTACCGGCAACTGCTGTGGATTTCAATGACTTTTCCACTCTCTTTTATCTCATGTTTGTTTATGTATATATTGTTTACTTGTTTACCAGTGTCTGCCCATAACAATTGATGTTGGGACAAATAACGAGAAGCTATTGAACGATGAGTTCTACATAGGGCTTCGACAAAGGAGAGCTACTGGAGAGGTCCTTGGACGATACTGAAGAAATAAGTTACTGTTAATAGTAATACTTAGATCATATGAACCCTCTATTCTCTTTTTCCTACAGGAATACTCCGAACTTATACACGAATTCATGACGGCGGTCAAGCAGAATTATGGTGAGAAAGTTCTCATTCAGGTTAGCTTGACTCCTGCATAGGCATACGTCGACATTTTCAATCTGTTATTTAGATTTTGTGCGAAGTCTTTCTTCTGTTTTCTCGTACTTAGGGACGTTCCATTGCATTGAAAATTGCAGTTTGAAGACTTTGCAAACCATAATGCCTTCGACCTGCTAGCCAAGTATGGAGCAACTCATCTCGTTTTCAATGACGATATTCAGGTAAAACCCAGATCAAGTTATGACCCGCTCGGTCGATTTGACTGTGGATGCAGATAGATTTATCTGGTAGTTGTCTGGTTTTATTATATTCAGGGCACAGCATCAGTGGTTCTCGCTGGCCTCATTGGTGCACTTAAATTTGCCGGCGGATCCTTAGCTGATCACAGATTTCTCTTCCTTGGTGCTGGAGAGGTGAAGCCCTTTTTTGTTAAGGAAATTGTTTATACAAAACAATTTCGTAGATATGTATGAGGATGATTTTGCATTTGATGCAGGCTGGCACCGGAATAGCTGAACTAATAGCTCTTGAGATATCGAAAAAGGTAATAGCTCTGAATTCCATTGCTTCGAATTTCTCAGAGTTTTGATTTGTTGTCTGAAAAATATGGCGGCAGTCCAAAATTCCACTGGAAGAGGCTCGGAAGAACATATGGCTTGTGGATTCCAAGGTATCTTATTCAACCCATGTACTCCTTTTCGTTTTATTCAGTTACTTTTTCTGCTTTGCCTTCTCTTCCCTAACAACACTACACATTCACATGTACATAGGGATTAATTGTCAGTTCGCGCAAGGAATCGGTTCAACATTTCAAAAAGCCGTGGGCTCATGATCACAAACCGATAAAAGAACTTGTTAATGCTGTGAAGGTGTGTTTTTTTCGTTGTTGTTGTTGTTCTGTTTTCCCCTTCTCTTGTTCGGAATCGCAGAATGTCATGCTTAGGAGTTGGGCCATTTTGGTTAATATCCGAGTAACCGAACTGAATGACATATAATCATGGCCGAAACAAATTTGATATAAAAGCTGAAATTGTGATATAAAAGCCAAATGATTATGATTTCCCTAAAACAAAAAGAAACTAATTGAACCAACCTGAATTCAATATAAAAGTGGAATGGTTGTAATTTGTCTAAAATTGAAATAACCGAACCCCAAGTAAGCCAACTCGACATTGGAGGACTCATTTTCTTTGCAATGCTCAACACGCGTTCTCCCTTTAACATTTCCTCACAGGCAATCAGGCCAACAGTGCTGATCGGGACGTCAGGAGTGGGCCGAACATTCACTCAAGAAGTAATAGAAGCCATGGCAGACCTGAATGAGGTAGAGTTTGTCTTTTGGCCGATACTAAAGTAAGAAAATAATTAGACAAAACTCAAAAGTTGAAATATTCTGCTGCATACAGAAACCCATTGTTCTTTCACTTTCAAACCCAACTTCCCAGTCAGAATGTACCGCGGAAGAGGCCTATGCATGGAGTCAGGTAAAAACGTGTTGCCTTTGTTAGTAGTTCTCTCAGATAATCGTAGAGAAGTTGGTTTTGATTCCTTTTGATTCAAACACAGGGACGGGCGATCTTTGCTTCCGGGAGCCCATTTGCTCCGGTAGAGTACAATGGAAAGATGTTGGTGCCGGGACAGGTGATTATGCAAAAAAACTGAAAGAATATGATGGAAAAAGCATGAGAGAATTTCAACTGATGGATCATACCTTTTTTTTTTGTGTCGTGGTGGTTGTTGGCAGGCGAATAATGCGTACATCTTCCCGGGGCTAGGGCTCGGGTTGATAATGTCAGGGACGATCCGTGTTCATGATGACATGCTCCTGGCTGCCTGTAAGTAAAAACATTCATTTATGGCAGGGAACTAACTCCAGATAGGAGTGGTCATTTTGGGTTTCGGTTCGGATTCAATTGGTTATATTCGGTTTTGAAAAACCGATAACCATTAGGTTTTTATGGGTTCGGGTTGATAAAAGTAATTATTTTTCAAAGGAGCTTTTCAGTTTTTTTCGGTTATTTTTTTATTCGATTTGAGTTCATTTTTTCTTTACTTTTATATCATGTTCCATTCGGTTATGGGTAGATGTTATTTGGTTCGGTTATTCGATTATTAACGAAATTGCCTACGGTTAGCTCCAGCAGGTGAATGTATATGATTTTGTTGGCATATATTGAGAAAGATGATGTTTGAATGTTATGGGTAATGCCAGCGGAAGCGCTGGCAGAGCAGCTGAGGGAGGAGCATTTTGTGAAAGGATCCATATACCCTCCGTTCAAGGACATCAGAAACATCTCTGCTCGCATCGCCGCCAAGGTGGCCGCCAAGGCTTATGAACTCGGTGAGTTGACTCGAGTCAACCCTCGGTGTTATTTATTTTTATTTTTGGTTATTGATAAATTCGATTTTAAAAATAAAATGATATGGTCACATATATATATATATATGCGTGTTGTAATGAAAGGTTTGGCAACGAGGTTGCCTCAGCCCAAGGATCTGGTGAAGTGCGCGGAGAGCAGCATGTACAGCCCTTCCTACCGCAGCTACCGCTGATTTTAATTTTGACTTTTAACCGCCGCCCTTCACCATTCTTTTCATTATCCCCCTTTTATATTTTTGTTTTTTTTACTTTTATTTATTATTGTATTTTTATTTTTCACTTTGAATCCGAATGTTTACCCTTCCTCATTTATGCTTTTGGTTTGTTGTGAGATACATCAGAATCAGCTTCTCTCCTGGTTATAGGCTTT